TCAATACATGCTTACTCTACATTCAACCAACCAACCAGTATACATGTATATTCATGTAGATGTTTGTATCTATGTGTATATAAATAAATATAAATAAATAAATATATATATATATATACATGTATGTACGTATGTATGTGTATATATATATATATGTATACACATATATATATATATAATAAGCGCAGGTCTGGAGAAGTTGCTATGTAGGTCCAGTAGTTCATCCCGGAACTTGTCCCTGCGTGCTTCATCCGCAACGGGGTCTGTCAATTGACTGGGTGCATAAAGGGAAACAGGGTAGGTTGGAAACGGTTGCGTGTGCAACATTGGAGCCGCCAGGCGGCCCCAGGTCCATCCCCGGCTACCTCCGAAAACGGAAACGAACAGCCCTGCGCAAATTCAAAGAGCCTATGGCAAAACTCGAGCACCGACAGTACGATCACGAGCGTATGTCGCTACATTATTGGACCTTCAGCCGCGCCTCCTGACATGGCGCCCGGAGCCCAGTCATATCGTTACTTTTCACGTCGTGACCCTGATTGGCCACGGCAAACAAGAACACTGGCTAATTTTGCCAGGACCAAAGCTTTCGATATCCTGGCAATTCAGGAAACCAAGGCGACATCATCAGACGAGCGCCGCGTACTAGGCGGAAAGCTCCTTTCATTGCCCCGATTGAGCACATGGCGGGCATCGGTGTTTACTGGCGTCGGTTTTCACTTTCCGGCATGCCGTCTCCCACTGGTGGCAGACTTCCTCCCACATAGGGTAACCTTTCCATTTTCCAACGTTCCACTGAGGGTATTGGCGCCATGATTCCGAGCGTTCGGCTTGATATCTAGGTTGTCGGCATAACATAGCGCGCGCTGCGCACAGCGACATTCGCGCCCACTAGCCTCGTAAATTGTTTGACGGTTTGCGCCGTTATGCAATCCCAGGAAGTTGCGCGATAAATGTTTGTGACGGCCGTGGCCCCCCGGCATGCCGCTGGCGGCTCTCGCAGCACAGAGATGGTGATAAAGATTACGGGTTTTTGCTTCCATAAAAAAACAGAGTACGATCTTGTGCCCCTTCGCTAGTACCAGAGCGAAAAGTGTGCTGAGCAACAATGTCATTTATGAACGGCCATTCCACTCTTAAGACAGACTGGGACTGAACGAAGCACTTCAGGACAGTATGCAACAGTACGGTCAATCAAAGAACAGTTGCAAAGTCGACACCAGTGGTTTCCCCTTCAAAGCATGCAACAGACGGCTGATCGTTTTTCTCGGCGAGAACCAGTGATCCGCGTCAAAAGAAGCCCAGTCGGGATGGTAACCTAATGGCAATCATACGGGTCCTCGTAGAAGGTCTTCGGGTCGTCACCCTTCGGGGTATTCCAAGACATATTTGTAAGCTGCAAATAAAAAGCCATGTTCGTGTCCACAGTCTCCTTGTTGTAGATTGGCGGCAAGTCCAATACCAATATTGTATTGTTGGCTTTGGCTCTTTCGAGCGCATTGAGTTGGGATGTATGCCGTTCCAAAGTGTACTGCGCCAAGGCAAACTCATGCTGAACCATCTTGTAAAACTGATCACAGCAAAAGGTGCAGCTGATCCGGTGAGGGAAAGAACACTTGAAGCAACATCGCCTGCTGAGCATTTTCCTCGGCGGCAATGTTGGGGATGGCGCATTCCGCTCCCAAAAACTCTCTTCTTCGTAGATAGCCAAAAAAAGTCGCGACGGGAGCTTTGGCCGCACTTCAGGGTCAGCAAAGTTGATATCCAGATCAACTAGCTTGGCTTCAAATTCAATCATGTCCTCCTCGTCTTCAGTCTTCTGTTTCTTCGGTGGGGAGCTCGTCGAAGCTTTGGCCTTGGCCTCTTTTTTTTGTCTTTGCCATTCACGGAAAGCTGCTAGCTCATCTTGCGCAATCTCTGCGGCAGGCGCACTGGGCACAGGCAGTGACGGTCCAAACCTCTCCGCCTTTGGCAGCGGTCTTGGGATTTCTTTGCCATGGCTGCATCGGCCATGGCTGTTGAAACTAGGAAAAGCTGAGGGGGAGGGGCACCAGCTAGAACACACCAGACCTAGAAGAAAACACGCTGTGAAAGGAAAGTCGGGCACGGGACTGCGGAAGTAAAGTCCTAGTCCAAGCTGTGAAGACTGCAAAGCACTTGCGCAACTGCTGCGGGGGCGGCGGATCCTGGGACCCTTCTCTGTGCTTGTGCCAAACGCCTAGAGAGAAAGCTTGTGCCCAGTAACTCTCTGGCACGGCGGTACGGCCTACGGGGTCCCACTTGCCGAACCACTACCTGACAATGCAAAAGCCTGTTGCCTATGCTTAAAGGTACTACTATGTAGGGTGTAGGTGGGGTTGCATTGGATTACATTGTACGGGGTTTGGGGTGACATGTCGGTCCTTGGAAGCAGGATTTCGCACACTCAAGCGGCACTTGAGGCTACCACCGTGCATGCAGCACGTCTTGCCATTCTGCCATGCCTGACATCCGATGAGCTGAGGCACTCGGCTGACATCGCAGAAATCCATGAGTGAAGGTGCCATAATATCGTCTTCGTAAACCATCTCGTGCTCCCATCTCATCATGGGGACCTTTGGCCGATATAGCACGAGACGCATGAATGTGAACGTCCAGCGAGCGAGGTCCCGGCGCTAAGCGCGTAGTCTGGACCAGAATTCATGGCCAAGGCAAAGCCAAGCGGATCTTCCCTGCACGAGGGCCCGGTCACGTTTCAAGGCATCTACGCTCTTAGCCTTCCACCCGCTTTGCTGTCAGAACAAAGAAGAACCGAAACTGGGCTTGCTGAAAGGTCGCTTGCTCGACTTCTCAGTGCGTCCAAGTCTTTTGGATGCAGAGCAGCACGACAACAGGCTTGGATTGAGCTCGTTGCGTTAGTCAAGACAGTGTATGCGGCCGCTGAGACTCTGACGTTCCAGGCTGCTTCGTGCAGGCTGTTCGAAGAGCAATCCGCTGCGTCTGGGCAAAACGTACAGTCTCTCCGGCGCTGAACGACACTGTGTGTTCACGGCGAATTCGGAAAGAAATAGCAGTGTGGCCACACGGTGAGCTGCACAGTATCAGCGTAAGATGCCCACATTTACCATCTCTCGGTTGATTTTCTCTTCCCAGTCCCGGGGCATCTCCATGTATCTCTGCTCCTGGCTCCAAGCGAACATGCACTCAGAGTGTGTAGTGCATGGGGGCTGCCCTTCCTGCACCGTGCTCTGCTTGTAGCGAGTCATCCTCTCTTTGGCCCACTGTTGCAGTGCCTGCAGGGACAGGGGCGCAGGATGGAAAGGCTGATGTGGAAGCTTGCGAAGGACGGCTGCGCAAGCCCTGGCTAGGCCGCTGGCGAAGCCACACGGGCTCACCGGCTCCTCCCAACTCGAAAGCTCAAGCACTGACACATTGTGTTTCTGTGAGACAACCCTCCTGCTCGGCTGCGACGATGTTGTTGAAAAAACAAGTCAAGCAGTAGGCCTGGGCAGGTGTTGGGGCAGAACTGGATCCAGCATCTAACAAAACACAGTGGGTGTCAGGGTCAAGTCAAATCAAAAATCAAGAGCCTAAGTGACATCTCTCTGCATGCACTTCTTTCTCCCATGCATGCAACATGTACATTTTTGCCATGCGGGACCCCTGCACAGCCCACAGACGAAAAGCGGTGGTGAAGCGCATCGGCACCTCGATGAAGAACGAAACCAACGAGCAGCAGCTGCGATGCACGCATACTAGTTACTAGGATTTTGCTGAGCATGCCACGAGCAATTACCAGGCGACCAGGTCTCATGGACACCTGTTCTCTGTCGATGTTCTACATCCATCATGGGAGTGCGACTCGCCTGCATGGACTCGGCATCCTCGTCCCAGGGCTTCAATTCGAGCGTCCCGTTCCTTTGTTGCCATGTGGCAATGCTTGCTTCGTCTGAACCTGGCCTCCATCTGAGGTCTGGATATCAAGCCAAGCTCAGTCGTCGGCTCGGGACCCAGGCACCAAATGCAGATCAGCCTGCAACATGTGCCACGAGTAGACGTGTCTCGTGTTTTGCAGACCCGAGCTTTGATGGAGAGGCCTGTGGCTACTCATGACTCTCAGCCACTTGCTGCAGACCTGGCAGGGCATTAAGAGCTCCATGTATCAATCATCCCTGACACAGGGATTGCATGCGGTGTCAGAGCTGCAGCATGAAGCCCCGACCGTGCGGGAATGTCACAGGCATGCGGTCGCTTAGAAACGGCGAGCTTCATCAAGCTCCTCAGTTCCAGCAGGATTTCAGGCCTCCTCGGTCAGTGCTGGTCCTTCAGATTTCGGCTTTGCAGCCTGGCATCTCGACTACAATCCCGAACATTGCAGTTTGCAGTAGTATAATGTTAAAGTCGCAAAAGCAAGGGTAGTAGCAGTCCTTGCAGTCGAAGTCGTAGTCGTAGCAGTCGTCGTCGTCGTCGTCATCGTCGTCGTCGTAGTAGTAGTAGTAGTAGTAGTAGTAGTAGTACTAGTACTAGTAGTACTTTTACTAGTAGTAGTAGTAGTAGTAGTAGTAGTAGCAGTAATAGTAATTACTACTACTACTACTACTACTACTACTACTACTGCTACGACTACTACGACTACTTCCAAGCCCCAAAAATCCAAAAAAAGCCCTTATGTACTGCTACTACTTCTTCTACTACTACTCCTGCTGCTACTACTACTACTACTACCACTACTACTTGGACTGCTACTACAGTACTACTACGACTATTAGGCAGCTTCGTAGCTGAGTGACGACGGTGGCACTATTTTGTCGGTATTTTTTCCGTTTATTTTGGT